AACAAGTCAACAGACAACATGACCACACGGCCAGCAGACAGGTGTTGAGGTGAAGCAGGTCTTCTGAACCTGTGAGCAGGACAGCAGATGTCGTCCTGAGCTTCTCCAACCTCTCTCCTCCAGAGTACATGAACAACGTCCTGGCGAGTGGCGAGGTCTCCAACCTGTTTGCTCGCGACGAGCTGGACGACATCGGCCAGGACCTGGTTCCCGTCATGAAGCGGCACAGTCCTCGCCGAGCTCCAACCCCGGAGAACCTCCACGACTTCTTCCTGTCCCGAGTGCGCAGCAACCTCCACGTCGTCCTCTGCTTCTCGCCCGTCGGGGAGAAGTTTCGCACTCGAGCCTTGAAGGTGAGACCGACACGTTTTATCAGCCGAGACTTCTAGAGTCTTCTGCAGAGACGCTGCTGAGGGTCTCCAGGCCGAGCTCTGGACCTGACGAGAGCGCTTGCAGGTCTGGGATCTGCAGGGTGATCCGTTCAAAAACATGATGATCGGGTCGTGATCGGGTCGTGATCAGCGCTTGGTCTGTTGGTCGCAACTCATCTCACGGTTTCATGAAAAATCCCCATTGAAGCGAATGGGAAGTCGGCAGGACGACCATATTTGGAAGTCTGTGGCGCCGGCGGATTTGACAGTAGAACCTTCGTTCACGGTTTGAACGGGTCATTGGACTTCGAACGCTGCTCATTTAAATCTGTGTTCTGGTTTCGTTAACGGGTTTTACACAGTCGCAGTCTAAGTTTGGTGATTATTTGTAAACTCCATCAGCAGTGTGTGATGTTCTGGTTCTGGTTCTATCAGCAGGACGAATCCACACAGCTGTTAGCGATGATACCAAAGCCCAGATACATGTTCTAACAGGATCTGTCAGGTTCTACTCTGTTCTGCCAGGTTCTAACGGGTTTTACCCAGTTCTAACAGGTTCTGCCCGGCTCTGACGGGACCTCTGACCCCTGACCTCTGCTCAACAGTTCCCGGGTCTCGTGTCGGGCTGCACCGTGGACTGGTTCCAGCGCTGGCCCCGGGACGCCCTGACCGCCGTGTCGCATCACTTCCTTTCTCAGTACCAGGACCTGCGCTGCTCCGAGGACATGAGGCGGAGCGTGGTGGTCGCCATGGGAACCTTCCAGGTAGCCGCGGCGCCACGATCAGGTGCGTGTCACGGGCGCGTTCGGCCGACTGACCGGCCGACCAATGTTCTTGCAGGACCTGGTGGCCGAGAAGTGCGGCGAGTATTTCGAGCGTTTCCGCCGCCCGACATTCGTGACGCCGAAGTCCTTCCTGTCCTTCATCGACAGCTACAAGGTCATCTACGGCGAGAAGATCGCGCACGTCGGCACGCTGGCCGAGCGCATGAAGACAGGTGAGGCTGGTCTGGGAGGGGAGGCGCCACGCAGCACGGCCACGCAGACACACAGAGTGACCCGGGAAGTTGTGTGTTTGCCGTGTAGGTCTGTGTAAGCTGATGGAGGCGGAGCAGGAGGTGTCTCGGCTCTCCGACCAGCTGCTGCTGAAGGAGCAGGAGCTCGCCGTCGCCTCCCGGAGGGCAGAAGGAGTCCTGCAGGAGGTCACGGCTAAAGCTCAGGCTGCTGAGAAGGTCGACACCGAAGCACAACGCTGACTCACACATCTCTCTGCTCTCTGCTCGGCTGCTTCCAGCATATTCAGCTGTAGGTTCAACTTCTTCTGGCAGCTTCACAGCTTGAAGCTCTGAACTCGGCACCGGCTGTCTGGAGCTGATCCACAGCAGCCGTCTGCAGCTCCTGGTTCTATCGTTCCTGACACACCGAGCCAGCTCTCTGGAGAGTGACAGCCTGTCCCACTGTGTCCACAGATAGACCTGGACGCACCGTCTCTGTCCTTCGAGACGTTTGATTGAACACATTCTTATTGTGCTTTTTGAAGCTGTCTGCTTATGTGAAGGTGCTGCTGCTGTAGACGCAGATCTTCACCGTCAGCGAGGCCCAACGAGCAGAAAACAGCAGATCTAGAAATCCGTTTTCTGGAGGATAGAACATTTAGTCATTCTGATGAGAACTTCTGATTGAATCTACTTCCTTTTGCTTTTGGACCCTCTGGTTTTGCTCCTCAGAGCTGCAGGACTTTAGTGAAACATGAAGCTCAGTGAAGGACCATGAGACGGGAGCAGAAGTTCAGAGGGTCCAGATTAGCAGCAGCTTCCCATTTGTTGTGTTTCTGCTTTTTACAGGATCTGATTCTGCTCTTCTAATTCTTCTGCTCTTCTTTAATTATTGTAAAGGAGACGTCATGATGAGTCTTCTGGCTGATGCATGCTTCAGACCACAACCTGACAGGGTCAGGGTTCTGGGGTTTGACCTGATGGATCCTCTGCTCCGTGTTCAGGTGAAGCAGCAGGTGCAGAAGGTGAAGGACAAAGCTCAGCTCATCGTGGACGAGATCGAAGCCGACAGAACGGCAGCAGAGTCCAAGCTGGAGGCGGCCAAGCCGGCGCTGGAGGCCGCCGAGGCTGCACTGCAGGTACGAGAACGTCCTCCTCCGCCCGGCCCGGAGGAACCAGCAGAGGGCGACGGAGGGGCCCAGAGTTCCTGGTCAGGATGTGACCTTATTGTTCTGTCCACAGACCATCAGACCTGCTGACATCTCCACCGTCAGGAAGCTGCAGAAACCTCCTCACCTCATCATGAGGATCATGGACGCCGTGCTGCTGCTGTTCCAGAGGAAGGTCTCAGACGTTCTCACGCAGCTTCGCATTCAGCCTCCAAACCCCGAGCACCCTCTGGGCTCTTTTTTATTAACTTTGGGCTCTTTTTATTAACTTTGGGCTCTTTTTTATTAACTTTGGCTCTTTTTTATTAACTTTGGCTCTTTTTTATTAACTTTGGGCTCTTTTTATTAACTTTGGGCTCTTTTTTTATTAACTTTGGCTCTTTTTTATTAACTTTGGCTCTTTTTTATTAACTTTGGCTCTTTTTTTCTGGCTTGTCTTTGTTGTTCCGGAGGCGTTGGTATTCTGGCGTCTCTTCGGACTCTGCTGGAGGGTTTAGGGGTTTTTGGGGATTCGATGTTTGAGGGACTCGTTGTCTCTGAGGCTTTTATCTTCTGACGTGTCCTCAGATCGAGCCGGTGACCGCCGACCCTGAGCGCCCGTGTCCTCGCCCTTCGTGGGCCGAAGCCATGAAGCTGATGCAGAACTCGTCCTTCCTCCACCAGCTGCTCAGCTTCAGCAAGGTCCTCTAACCCTCGTTTATTTCACCACAAACTGCTCCCTCGTGGGTGGTTTGTGTTGTTATTTTATCCGTTGTGTAGTTTTGTGTCTCGTTGTTGTCGTTTTGTCTCTAGTTCGTGACGTTTGTGTTGCTGCGTCAGTTTTTCAGCTTCCTCACTACGTGTCGATCATTTTTCTAGTTTTGTTGTGCGTTTGTGGCGCTCTTTTGTCTCATTTTGCCTTTTTGTCTCACTCTTGTTGTTTTTGTGATTAAGAGTCTCGTCTTTCTTAATTTTGTTTCTTGGTTGTGTTTCATTCGTGTCGTTTCTCTGCCTCTCGTTTGTTGTGTCTCGATTTTTGCCATTTTGAGTCACTTTGTGTCCAGATTTTGTCATTTTGTTTTTTGTCTGCATTGTTTTGTGCTTCCTTTGTGTTGCTCAGTGTGTGGTTGTTGTCGTTGTCGTTGTCGTGCACTCATGGTGGCAGCAGAGAGCATCGTGGGAGTTTAGCAGCAACAGGACCATGACAGAGACTCTGAGGATCAGTTGAAGATGCCACCGTCGCCTGTGAGATCGGATCAGAACCAGCCTCTTGTCGGAGCTGGAAGCTAAAGCTGCTAGCTGCTAACTGGGCAGCAGCTGGAGCTCCGTCTTCTAAACATGAGATCGCGGCATCGCGGTCGGTCACAGCCGCTCCACTGAAGCCTCCCTCGGCGCTGAAGAGGCGGCGACTGGATGGCATCTGTGGGCCGGCGAGTGTTGGAGGGAAACTCCCTTCTCATCTTCTGACCCGCTGACGGAGGCGCTAAGCTGAGGATTAAAGAGCTGGAAAACCCCCGAAGAGCGCCGATGGGCCGCAGACAGCACGTCCAGGGCAGAACACAGGCGCTGGGGCGGGAAGAGCAGCAGGTTCCTGACATGAGGGGTATTTTTAGCTGATTTAAACACAGTGAAAGGATGATTCTACATTCACGCACCGGGAAACAACAGAGGACTGTTTGTGGGGATACAGATTTGTGATGTGGACGTTGTTTACCACAGCGAGCAGCAGCTACTCTGTAAACAAACAAACAAACAAACAAACAAACAAACAAATAACTTCATATTTGTGTAAAATGACTCCAACATCCAAAATGGCTCAGTTGTAAATGTTTATGACACAAACATTTCTGTTCTGAGTGTTCAGTTCAGGAAACCAGAAGCATTCAGATCAGAACATGTTAGAGATTCATCTTACTGAAGGTCCGGCTGTGGAGGACTCACTGGACCGGCTGGGTGCTGGTTGGACTCCTCTGATAGCTGAAGCTTCCTGCTGCACTCAGACATGAAGTGAGGAGACCCGGACTTGACTGGAGGTGGGTCAGTATCTCATCGGGCCTGGGAGCAGCTCAGGATCCTCCAGGAGCAGCCGGAAAACGCTGCGGTGGACGTCTGGACTCGCCTGCACGACCTTTTCCTTTCTCTTATCACTTTGATTTGTCTTTGTGCAGGAGCGTCGGCGGTCCGGGCGACGACTTAGTGGTATCTGTCCTGTTTGTGCTGCAGGACTCCATCACAGCGGAGGTGGTGGAGCTGCTCGCGCCCTACCTGGACATGGACGACTACAACATGGAGTCGGCCAAGAGGATCTGCGGGAACGTGGCGGGCCTCTGCTCCTGGACCCAGGCCATGGTGGACTTCTTCAGCATCAACAAGGAGGTGCTGCCTCTGAAGGTAACTGCCAGAGTGTTGGCGAGGCGACCGCATGGTGTTTTTGTTGGTGGTGTCGGGGCAGGACAATCCAAACCGTGTGATCCCGGCACTGAAACTTGATCCACAGACGGAGAATTGAGGCTTCTGTGTGCAGCTTTCAGGACCTTCAGCCGCTGGATGCTGCAGCAGCTTTAAGAAGGCACATCAGCAGCCCGCCTTCACTGGTCCACAGCTACAAATGCTGTGTGTACACGAGAGCCAACAGCGTGTAACCCAGACATGACCCGTGGACACAACGAGTCACCTCCAAGTCTACCTTCACTGTCTGAGCTTCTCCACTTGTGTCTGTTCCACATTTCAGCAAACCAGAGTGGAAACACTGAGCGGAAATGAAACAAGAGCACAGACGTTATGTTGAAAACAGAAATAAAGTGCTTTGTTTCACATTCTTTGGTTTTTCTGGACACCAGCTGAACACTGGACCACTGTGGGAGGGACATGCACGAGAACAGACAACAGCTGTTCTATGAACAGTCTCTAACATCTGAGCTGCTGAAGCTGGAAACTCCTTCAGAGGAGTCATAGGAGTCCTGGTGACCTCCCTCTCTAGTCTCCTTCTAGTACCTCCTTCAGAGGAGTCATAGGAGTCCTGGTGACCTCCCTCTCTAGTCTCCTTCTAGTAACTCCTTCAGAGGAGTCATAGGAGTCCTGGTGGCCTCCCTCTCTAGTCTCCTTCTAGTCACTAACAGGGGCTGAAGCCTGTCTACAGACTCAGAGGCTCAGACATCATGTCTGGAGTTTGGTAGATGGAGCGTGACCATGTGTTTGTGTGCAGGCTAACCTGGCCCTGCAGGAGGCTCGTCTGCTGGTTGCTCAGGCTGAACTCGCTAAAGCTCAGGATCAGCTGGACGCTAAACAGCAGGAGCTGGACGCTGTGCAGGTGAACACACATAATATCTGATTTCTTATGTTCTGCTTGTAGGATTTGTTGTCTTTTGCTTCTTCTAACCTGCTGTCGGTCTCGCCGACCTGTGTCACTGCCCTCTAGTGGTCGGCCTCCGTTTGGCTCCCAGTGTTCTGTCAGACCACAGCGACCTGCGTCACTTTAACATTTGATTCCAGCTACAGATGATTCGGTGACTCTGGGATTATCTGTCCTCATTTACAACCAGCAGAACATCTCGTGGTGACGTGCTGAGAATAAATGACTGTTTGTAGAAACAGCTGAGTTGTTCACGTGGACTTTAGTGACAGTTCTGGGATTTCTTTTTGCTGTCAGCATGTGATTTATTATTGAATACGATTATACAAGACACAACAAACACGTGTTCGACTGTTGAAAACTACCACAGATGTTTGTTCTTTACAGTCTGTCCAGGTCAGTTTTGTTCATGCAGCGCATTCACAACATGTGTCAGCTCACAGCGCTCAGCTCAGGAAGGGAAGAACCCGGCAGTCTGGACCCCCTCCTGAGGGCGGGCATGGGGGTTTGGGTTACAGGGGAACCGGTCCCAGGATGGAGTTCTGGTTTATTATCACCTTCTTGTTCCATTCATTAGGAGTTTCTCTCTCTTTTTGTTTTCATTCGCAACAGTTTGAAATGCTAAGATGCTTTTTGAAACGTGTGAGTGAGCTGCGCTGAACTTGACCTTCAGGCTCTCTACGACGCTGCCATGAAGGAGAAGCAGGACCTGCAGGACGACGCCCAGACCTGCCGCCGCAAGATGTCCAACGCCACAGCTCTGATCGACGGGCTGGGAGGAGAGAAGGTCAGCCTCCTCTGGTGTCCGTCCTTCTGGTCCAGAGCCAGTCGATCCGTCCTGCAGCTCCCGGTCTGTTGTGTTTCAGGTCCGCTGGACCGACAGCAGCGCTGGGTTCCAGACTCAGATCAGAAACCTGGTGGGGGACGTCCTTCTGTCCACGGGCTTCCTGTCCTACGCCGGACCCTTCAACCAGGAGTACCGCCGGCTGCTGCTGGAGCTGTGGAAGAAGGACATGGAGGACAAACGCATCCCCTTCAGCCCTGTAGGACGTCCCCTCACTGACGCTCAACCCTTCTCTGAACGTCTCACTAGCATCAGACACAAACGTGCAAAAAATTTCTATGAACACACAAAAGAGTAAAAACAAAACCTGGATGTTAAAGTACAGACGTGTCAGTAGGAGTGATACAACTCAATGAAAACATCTTCAGGTGTAAAATGTTCTGGAGGCCGTTTTCCAGGTCGTAGTTCATCTGAATCTCTGAACCTGCTCCAACCACCGGAACCGCCTGCAGCAGGAACTCTCAGAAAGCTCCTGCTGCAGGCGGATTCCTGTGAGCTCACCCGGCAAGCTGCTGGATAAAACATCACCAACAGAAATCCTGAAGCAGATCCTGGAAACCAGTTCCTGCAGCGAGAAACCAGCTTATCCAGAAACAGCTAGCACCTGTAGCCGGAGCACTTAAAAGAAAGAGAGGTCGAGAAAATTCAGAAATGGTTTCAGGAGATGGACGGTGGGTTTTAGATCCGTTTCTATCAAAAATCTAAACTCTTCTACAAGCTTCTACCAAAACTTGATGAAAGACAAATAAAGAAACTCCTCGAGCCGATAAAATGGAGTGGATTTACTTTTTAAATGTGTCGAACCAACTGGTGCTCCGGACAGGATTCTGCTCCTGACCTCGCCGACGGGTTTTACCAGCAGACTGTCTTCTGTTTGATTGACTTGTTCTCTGTATCAGGACTCAGTGAGCGTGTCTGTGCTGGATCTCTGCCGTAACCGGGCGGTTAAACTGAGCTGGGCTCTGCTGCACAGGGCCTGAACGTGATTGGTCTGCTGGTGGACGGCGCCACGGTGAGCGAGTGGAACCTGCAGGGTTTGCCCGGCGACGACCTGTCCGTGCAGAACGGCATCGTGGTGACGAAGGCGTCCCGCTACCCGCTGCTGATCGACCCCCAGGGCCAGGCCAAGACCTGGATCCAGAACCGAGAGCGGGAACAGCAGCTGCAGGTGAGGAGCGCCTGAACCAGCCCCTCCCAGGACACGCCCACCGCTCACCTGGGCTCTCCTCTCTGTCTCAGGTGACGTCTTTGAACCACAAATACTTCCGTTCCCACCTGGAGGACAGTCTGTCTCTGGGGCGCCCCCTGCTGCTGGAGGACGTGGGGGAGGAGCTGGACCCCGTCCTGGACAACGTCCTGGACAAGAACTACATCAGGTCCGGATCCACTTACAAGGTACAGCAGCTGAGCTCATTCATCCCTCTGTTGTTCTTCAAGCTTGTCCTGCAGCTTTCCTCCATGAAGGAGTGAGATGTATCAATAACCTGGATATTTACACACTAAAGTAAGAAAAACCTCGTTTTTAATGCCGAAGAATATTAAGAATCTGGATATTCATGCTCAAAAGTGCCAAAAACCTGAATTTTAACTCAAAGAAATGTCAATAATCTGGATATTTACACACTGAAGTGTCAATAATCTTGATGTTAATCCCACAAAGTATTAATAATCTGGATATTAAAGCACAAAGAGTTTTAAAAAATGGATATAAACTCACATCAGTGTCCATAATTGATTGAATTTCCCTTCTGGGATAAATAAAGTATTTTTCATTTCATTTTTCATTTCATTCATTTCATAATCTGGATGTTTACACAGTAAATTAAGAACAACCTTGATATTAATGCTGAAAAATGTTAATAATCTGGATATTAAAGCAGAGAAGAGTAAAGCCAGGATGTTACCAGACTGAAGTGTCGGTACGGTCTCTGCTGCTGCTCCTCGTGCAGGTGAAGGTTGGAGATAAGGAGGTGGATGTGATGCAGGGCTTCAGGCTGTACATCACCACCAAGCTGGCCAACCCGGCCTACAGCCCCGAGGTCAGTGCCCGGACGGCGGTGGTGGACTTCACGGTGACCCGGCGAGGCCTGGAGGACCAGCTGCTGGGCCGAGTCATCCTGCTGGAGAAGCAGGTGGGTGGCGGCTGGGCCTAAGTAACCAGCACTGGAGACGCTTTGGTCAGTCCAGACCTGGTTCCACAGAACTGTGTCGGCGCCGACCGTGTTCTGACTGATTTTAAACAGTGCTATTACGAGATTATGGCTTTGACTTGGTCAGGAGCTGGAGGCGGAGCGAGTGAAGCTGCTGGAGGAGGTGACGTCCAACAGGAGGAGGATGCAGGAGCTGGAGGACAGCCTGCTGCTCCGGCTCACCAGCACCCAGGGCTCCCTGGTGGAGGACGAGTCCCTGATCCAGGTCCTCCGGGTCACCAAGAGCACGGCTCAGGAGGTGCGTGTTGAATGAAGCGTGACGGGATGCGTGAAGACACGAGCGTTTAGCTTCGATGAGCTGCACAAAGAGTTCAGCTAACAAATGACAAATGATCCCGTTTCCATGCTTTGGGTTTGACACCAAACCAGAACACCGACGGCGCCTCCTGCTGCGTGACTTTGAGTTTTGTGTAGATGCTGGGAAACTGAAAACAGGTTTTGTTGGTCTTTGGGGTTGGCTTTCTAGTATTTGACAAGAAAACAGACCAAACGTATGTACACGTGTATAACAACACACAAACTGCTCTAGCAGCTCTCCTATGAATGCTTTAACCGCCGGACAGAAGAACAGATCAGGACTCAGTAAAGGATTAAATACTGTTTGTTGAATATATGTGCAACATCTGATTTAAAGTTTCACCTTTAAAACCAGTGTTTGCTTTGCTCAGTCTTTCTATTTTCACTTTTCAGGAAACTGTAGAAACAAATCCAAGCGGTGACGAACTGAGCCGCGGCACATCACTTCCTCTTTCATTTCCATTCACATATATCTACTAACTAGCTTCTCACTCACCTGTCCTCCAGGTGAGTGAGAAGCTGTCGGTTGCCGCGGACACGGAGGTGAAGATCACCCGGGCCAGGGAGGAGTACCGGCCGGTGGCCACCAGGGGCAGCATCCTCTACTTCCTGGTGGTGGAGATGTCGCTGGTGAACGTCATGTATCAGACGTCGCTGCGGCAGTTCCTGGGGCTGTTCGACTCGTCCATGAGGAACTCCGCCAAGAGTCAGCTGACGTCCAAACGCATCAGCAGCATCGTCGACTTCCTCACCTGCCAGGTGAGTCGGAGAGGAGTCGGTGCTCACCTGCAGCTGGTGTCACCTGTCCTACCATCGAAAACAAGAAAACAAGGCTGTTAATGTGGAAAACCAGATGAGTTTCTTGATGGATGAATGAATGAATGGATGGATGATGGGTGGATGGATGGATGGATGGATGATGGGTGGATGGATGATGGATGGATGGATGGATGGATGAATGATGGGTGGATGGATGGATGATGGATGGATGGATGATGGATGGGTGGATGGATGATGGATGGATGGATGGATGGATGGATGGATGATGGATGGATGGATGGATGGATGGATGGATGGATGGATGGATGGATGATGGATGGATGGATGGATGGATG